ACCGAGTGAAGTAGGAGAGGATAGAAGGCTGCATGTCCACACGGGGGTACCTGTCCACACAGCAGACCCTTTGAGACCCTGAGCTGAGCCGGACAGGGTGGCTGGTGGTGTCGGTGCCCGGGACAGAGGGCGCACGATTAGAGAGCTGTGAGAGTAGAGGCGCAGGGCACGGACTGCTAGGTTGAGCGTCAGGGTCTCAGTCTGGAACTGGAGCCAGAAAGGGGGCGCGCTGTGTGGAGGAGATAGCAACGCAAAACACATATTCCACAATGTCACAGCTGCATTACTTTAGTAGCCGGGACATGGAAGCAGCCTAAATGCCCATCCATAGACGACTGGATCTATTGGCGTAGTGTGAGGAATATTCACACTGCAGGATACTACTGAACCGCGAGGAAAGATGAAATGCAGCTGTTTTCAGCAAAATGGAGATGAATAAGTATACTGAAGCAGGTCAGGGCCATGAAAGCAAATACTGGACATTTACATAGCAGATGATTTAAATAAGTAAAATCATTGTAAAAACAGTGGACAGGGCCCTCCCTGGTGGCGCAGCGGGTTAAAGCACTGCACTGAGAAGCTAAAGCCACTTCCGCATGAGTTCGATTCCCGCCTGCCCCGGAGGAGACCACATGGCGGGGCAGACCTCTCCTGACCCGCCCGCTGCTCCCCTCAGCAGTGTACTTCGTCGATCTGCCTGTTCTGCTCCCCACTCTGTCTCTGGTGAAGCCTCTCACCGCCCCTGAGCCTCTGGCCTGGCCTGTACCCCAGTTCTGTATATACAAATAAATAAATCTCTATAAAAAAAAAAAACAAAACAGTGGACAACAGTAAGCACCACGAAGACTTAGAAGTTAAAAGGGGGTGAGGAGGGAAAGGAACAAGAGGATATAAGGGATGGTGGCTGGGGAAAAAGCAAATAAAATAGGCCAAAGGGAATATAACAACAACAACAACAACAACCTCTGTTCTCCCCACACGAGGGGGTGGGGTCAGGATGGTGGTCAGAGGGAGGGCACATTCTAGACCTAGGGACAGCGAGTGCTGAGGATCTGAGTCACAAAAGATCATTCAGGAACGCAGAGGAAGCCAGTGTAGTGACAGCAGGTGAAAGGAAAGGAAAACTGGTGTCAGACAGGGCAGTGGGTAGAGGTGGGGGTCCAGGACACCCTAGAAAAGAGCTTCAATTTGATTCTGGCCACTTAAGCTAAGGGATGGTTAAGAGAGAGCTGAATTTTAAAATGTCCGTGTCACATTGGTTACCGTGGAGAATGAACAGAGTGCAACAGGAGCGAAACCAGCCATGCTAGCGTAACATCAGGGGCCTCCCGGGTGGCCTGGAGGTTAAGGCTCAGTGCTAGCAACATGCAGGCCTGAGTGTGAGCCCTGGCCAGGGAGCTGACCCACACATGGCTCAGCAGACCTCTCATGTCTCACCCAGATGATTCACCAGTGAGAGCAACTGGGTATATATATATGGTGCCATTTGCTGAGAGGAAGAAGGCTAGTGGAAGGACAATTTTAGATACACTGAGGCTGAGGTGCCTGTGACACGCCAAGGTGAGGTGCTCAGTAGGTCACTGCTACAGAGTACATGGGAGGTTTATGCTGAAATGATAACTTTGGGAGTCATAAACACATAGCTGGCTTTCACAACTGACAGAATGAATGAGATCACTGGAAAGAGAAGAGAGAGAAAAAAGATGGGATGATAGAGAGCTCCTTATTTCATGATCAAAGAAAGGACATCTGAAAAACAGAATAGCAGCTGAAAGGAGATGAACTGGGGGAGCCAGTCTTGTGGAAGCTGAGAAAGGAGAATGTTTCAAGAGGCAGTAAAGGGTGGCAAGACCAAGAGCCGCTGAGACGAAGGACAGAAGGACAGAACAGTGACCTTCGGATTTGGCGACAGAGCTCAGAGTGCACTGAAAGGAATAAAGGAATTTCAACACACACAAGGAAAAATCCTAGGGCTTTGCTAAGTTCTCTTAGACCTTCAATTAACATAGAGATGATTCCCATCTCTTAAAAATGGCTACAGAGAGTAGAAGCGATTTATTTTAGGATGCTGTTATAACCTTGCTCGCAAAGTCAGAACAGGATTATTATAAAAGAAAGGTAGAGGCTAGTTTCACTCTACACTCACAGATGTGGATATTCTAAAAATATGAGCAAATTGAATCCAATAATATAGGGGGAAAATCATGCATCATGACTAGAGCTTATCTCAGTTAGCAAAGATGACAATATTCGAAAATGTATTACTTATTAACACACTAACATAGTAAAGGACAACAAATGTAAAGTTATCAATAGACTTAGAGTAAGAATTTGATGAAATTCAAAATACACACATTCATGATTTAAAAAACAACTTAGTAAGCTTGGAATAGCAAAAAAACTTTGTTTTGCTGTAAAGTATACCTATCCAAACCTTTAATAAATCCTTCCTGCCAAAAAGTTAGGAACATTCTTTTTACTATCAGGAGTAAGAGTGGGATATCCAGTATAACCATTCCTCTTCCATAAGAAACAAGACAGGAAAATGTAATAAAAATAAAGACAAAGTTCCATCGTTCACTAAGAACAAAATCACTCTCCCAGAAAATCCAAGAGAACCTAAGACAGACTATTGTAATTAATGCTGGTAATGTTGCCAAACATTTTAAGGGACATGCCCTCAAAGTATAAAAATCAGTGGTACTCCTGCATATGAGTCACAAAAAAGTTGAATATTATAATAAAAACCTTATAGTAGGAATCCAAAGCAGTAACTAGAGCTATATGTCTAGTAAAAGATGCAAAAGACCTTTATGAAGAAAATTTAAAGCTTTACTGAGGTATGCTTAAAAAGATAAAACATATTAAGAGGTACTGTACTCATAGTTTGGAAGACATAATATCATAGAGATATCAAATCACTCAAATACAATTCCTAAGTCAAGAAAAGCCTCGCTCTGAGGAAGAGCCATAAAACAGAAGCCTCATTCTACCAGACAGCAATGAAGTTAAAGGCTCTTCATTTCCCCTCCCTATGAAGGAACACGATTTGGGAGTAACACTTCTGGCCTCTCTCCGTCCTTTCATTCACTGCTTTTCTAATTGGTGGATTTGGAGGGGAAAGCAAAACCTGGATTTTTATGGCTTAGCCCCATCTGAGTTCCTGTAGGGCTTATCAGAACTCCGGCCTAGGGAAGGGCCTGTCTCTGTGGGGGGAGCCTGGGGTTCTCCAATCCATAAAGTGACTGTGAGGGTAAGTTTAATTTTGAATGACATCTTTGCAGGCTGTTTTTATTATAGATCTAAAGCCACATTTTCCAAGAGGCTTTATCAGTAATAAAACTGACATTTTGATTTCTATTAGTCTGTCTCCTGTATCCCTTCTCAAATGGTTCCAAATGTCAGAGGGGAAGGGGATGCTATTATTGGACATCCTCAGACCTCAACAAGATGTATAGAAATTACATTAAAATTGTGATTAAAATTGTGATGTTAGCCTAAGCATGGACAAATAAAACAAAGGAGAGAATAGGGACCCTGGAAAGAGATCTATGTGTATAAAAATGAACATGGCATATGAAGAGATGACATTATCAAACAGCAAGCAAAGGACCGATGCTTCAGTTAACGGCAATGGGACAATTTGTTATTAATTGAGCAAGACTCGTCTAGTTATTAACCAAGTAGTTTCCATAGTTTGTCTACCTTTCTTTTTCTTTTTTTAATATATCATCTTAGATTATTTCCAGGTAGATCCCAAATACTTCAAAGGTAGGGCTTGAGTCATACAGTTCTTATTATGTTCCAGAATTAATTATCACAGAACAATACATAAAAATGATGCTAAATAAATGCCTGTTAGTGCACTGATTATTTGTATTAAAACTCAATGTCTATCCTCATTTCTTGGCTCATACAGTTCCAATTCCTTTATAAGCTCTTATAATTCTGAGTAGAATTTTTTAAACAATTGCATATTTGCTTAAATGGGAGTCCTATCTAGTCAGACATCTGGAACTTTCATTTTGAAGATCATGCAAGACAAAACTTTTAAAAATGTCAAAATAAAGCTCAATCATAGACATCACTTTTTATTATCCCCAAGGTCTATCCTTTCAGCATAGACGAAAATCAATTCAATTTTGTACCTTCTTTCCCAAATATAGTATTTTTGTCTATTATCATATGTCATCCTCACCACAACTGGGCAGGGATTACAGATGAGAAGTTTCTGAGAGACAGGGATTTATGTTCACACAGGAGGTCAGGAAAAGATATAGGTTCTGAAGCCAGTGCTCTTTACATGAATCTATGTGACTTTCAACTATTCAACTCTTATGGCCTGATTTTCAGTCACAACGTTTTGTAAGTGAGTGTTCATCACCAAGGATTCAACCCTCAGGAACTATTAAGTGGCCAGAGCCAATAGCTTTCCATTGACTTGTCAAATAAAGTCCAGACATTTCCTTCCCCTTCCTTTTTAAAGTGGTCTCTACACCGACAAAGCATTTATAAACAGCAGCCTGCCCATATGGTGCAACAGACACTAATATCCAATGTAAGAAAATTCCAGTATGTGCCTTCTGATCTCAGATGAGGTACTGACAACCTGATTTCTCCCTTATGTGTGTCCTTCCCTTAACTCTCAGTGGCAAACATGCTGCTCTCCTTCCATAGCATGTCCTCCACATGTTCTTTGGAAAAGACTTCGGGGCCCCCCATGTCTCCCTTTTGTAAACCGCACTGGGCGACATCCTGACTGCCTCAGCAATGCCCACAGGATTCTTGCCCCATGAACTGCCTGCTGTTCAAATCCACTCTTGGTCCAAGGGTACTTCACCTTGGCATCTTTGCCAGGCTGGAGCTTACACCTATAGAAGTATGGAGGCTGACTTCTCTTCAGCCCTTCCTACAGAAGAAACCCTGCAGGCAGGGTCTGGGTGTGGAGCAATGAGGAAGAGCAGGAAAAGCTTCTCTGGTTAGCAGAGATAGTTACTCACCACCTGACCATTAGTCCATGTTCCATGAAGTTTTTCAGGTTGGGAAGGGTTTGCCTCAAATCTGGAGTCCCTAGTCCATGTTGATATCTTAGCTGTAAAGGTGGAAACAACAGAATTAAGAAATTCTGGAAGATGCTTATGAAATATCCATTAAGCAAGTGTTTTTTTTTTTTTTTTAAGATGTATTTATTTGTGCATACAGAACTGGGGCACAGGCCAGAGGTGCAGGGGCAGTGAGAGGATTCACCAGAGACAGAGTGGGGCGCAGAGCAGATCCACTGATGTAGTACACTGCTAAGGGGAGCAGCGGCTGAGACAGGAGAGGTCTGCCACGCCATGTGGTCACCTCCGGGGCAGGTGGGGAATCGCACTCATGCTGAAGTGGCTTTAGCTTCTTAGTGCTCTGCTTAACCTGCTGTGCCACAGGGAGGGCCCCAGCGGGTGTTTTTATTTGCTTTTTAACTTATCTCTAAAGGACGAAAAGTGAATATATGACCCCAACATTATCATATATTTAATATTTAAATATTTAAAAGCAGTCTCTATTTCCCACCTCCCTTTCCCTGTAAATTTGGAAAAGATGAAGGGTGAACAACTACGGAGACAGGATATTCAGGGTTTGCTAATACCAGCTCCAAGGACTTACGCCATAAAATCAGTATTTCACTTCAGCTACTAAAACGTGGTGTCACCTACCCTGGGCATTCAGGCGTTCTTTCCCTGACGCTTCTCTTTGTGTTAGCAAGGTTAAGGGTCACACTGTATTCAGCTCTGACTTCCAACAACACCTGACACAGTGCTAGTGCTCAGTCACTCACTGAGCAAATAAATCGCAAGCTATGTTTGCCAGAGGCTGTGCTCTGTTAATTCCCCAGTATCTAAATTTTCTCTTTGTTGAGAACCAGAGCACAAAGGTCTAGAGCTTGTATGAGGAAGCTTGCTGTTGGCTTGTGAGCTAGATCTGCCTTTTGTTTAACTTCTTTCTGATAGAGGTCAAATTTCTAAAACGAGCATCCTTCTATGTACCTTGGGTAACTTGCTGAGTGGTTTTCATCTGTCTGTTCCTTGTCTCCTCTCACTTTATCTTGAAATATCATTTGCTTTCTAACTGACCAGCAGAGAACCGAGACAGTATATGTATGTTCACACACATGCTGACATGCATAATATCCAATGTGCAGAAAGTGTACAACACAGCCCTACAGAATGAGCTTTCAGATGACAGAAAATAAACAAAGAGAGGCCTTTGTAAACGGAATGCTGGTGTATAAATGCAAAGGATTGTCAGGTATTTTGCTTTTCCTACACCTAAATTTAAAAGTAGCCAAGGAAGACTTTTAAATATTTTCCTCTCTTAAAAAGTAAGACCAGGCCCTCCCCGGTGGTGCATGGGTTAAAACGCAGCACTGCAAAGCTGGCCACAGCTGCTTCAGTGGGAGTTTGGCCCCATAGGTGACCACATGGAGCAGCAGACCTCTCCTCTCGCCTGCTGCTCCCCTCAGCAGTGTACTTCGTCAATCTGCCTGTTCTGCTCCCTACTGTCTCTGGTGAATCCCCTCACTGACCTTGAACCCCTGGCCTGTAGCCCAGTTCCGTATGCATAAATAAATAAATCTTTTTTATTTATTTATTTATGCATACGGAACTGGGGTACAGGCCAGAGATGAGGAGGGTGAGAGGATTTACCAGAGACAGAGTGGAGAGCAGAACAGGCAGATCCACGAAGTACACTGCTGAGGGGAGCAGCGGGCGGGTCAGGAGAGGTCTGCCTCGCCATGTGGTCACCTCTGGGGCAGGCGGGGATCGAACTCATGTGGAAGCGGCTTTAGCTTCTCAGTGCTGTGCTTTAACCCGCTGCGCCACCAGGGAGGGCCTAAATAAATAAATCTTAAAAAAAAAACAAAAAACAAAAAACCACTGACCAACAACAAAAAAACTAAAGCTTTATTTGTATCATGCTTTCATTTGCATATTCTGTGTAACATTACATGGAACCTTGCAAGGAAAATCCCCAAATCTAATGGGCAGAAACACAGACTGCTAAAGCAAAGCTAATGCTAAAGCTAACTGCTAAAAGCAAAAGGTATCTTGAGTGTTATTTAGACTGATCCTTTCCTTCTGCAGATGGGGAAACTGAAGCCCAGAAAAGGAAGGAAAATCTCTAAGGCCATATGTTTCAATGACAAAGTCATTCTCATCCAGAGTGGCCTTTTCACAATCATGTTACTCTACCATTTATCCCAAAACTTGAGGGGAAAATTCATAAAAATACTTGAGAAGACAGAAGGAAAATATTCCTTTCCTTTTTTTCAAAGCTAGCTTGCTGACCTAAATCACCTCCTGAGATTTGCTGACCTTGAATTATAAGCTCTACTCCATATTAAATGACATCATTTCTTGTATTAATATAAAAGCATTTTTTCCATACATTGATAAAAGCAAAATGGCTGATATCCCAATATGACATTCCTGAATTCACTGTTTCAATAAAAAAGTCAAATTGTTTACACATGGCATGGAAATTTCACCTGTGATTCATACTGAAAAATATTAAATATTAAAAAAAAAAAAACCCTTACTGAAATAACACAAAGTTATGTGTCTCTAAGCCAGTCCATCGTCAGTTGTCTGCCCCAGGCTCCACAGTGGAAGTGGGGGTTGAATTCTTTTCGGAGACTACAGTGAAAATTTCTCTCCGAGTCTGATTTCAACCAAAAAGAAAGAAAGAAAGGAAGAAAACACAGGAATTTCAAGCCTCCAACTAGCACTTAACTTTTCAATGGCTGCTTAGCACTGTTACTTTTATCACTGAATCGTAGGATACTGTAGCTTCAAAAGATTCTGGAGATCATCTTTTCCAACCTCCTTCCTCTCCCAGGAAGACAAGTGTCCTGCCCAATGTCACAGAGCTGATAAGGGCCAAAGCCAAGGCTAGCTCTGAATTCTTTCTACTGGGTCACACTTACTTGTCAACATACAGAACTAAAAAAGAAATGCACACATAACGTTTGTTTACTAAGTTGATTTTTATTAATCATGTACACGTACTGTTTAAAAGTCTAAACCACTGTAGGCTCAGAATGAAAAGGCAAAAGTGTTTTGCTCTTTACGAGCACCGCTTCTAGCTGTTTCTTCTTAACCTTCATATTGCTAGCTCATATGCTTCCATTAGTATTCCTTACTCTTTTCCTCCCATTGCAGACACCATCTACTGTGTTCCTTCTGTGATAAATGAGGATTCAGCTCACAGATAATACTCTGCTCTTCTACACTATCTCCTCACCCACATATGACCTTACAATTTTCGATTCAAGACTGTAAGGACTTAACTCTCTATTCTCCTCATCCTCTCAACATACTCAATAACATACTTTTAGTTTTAAAATCAATATTTTAGTGTTCACCTTATTACACCTACAATAATTTACTGCTCAGTCATGCAATACATTCTTTCTTTCTTGTGCTTTTTGGGTTGTTTTTCTGAAAGTGTTAATTACCATTTCCCCTGCTTATAGAAAGCCTGTGTATCCATCAGTTTACCCCTGCCCCCAAAACCAGGGCAAGCCTTGAAAATCATTTTTAACCTGAATGAATATATCAAGACTGTTTCCTCTCTCAGAGGCATTTCTTAGAGTGCTCTTCTTTGCGCCAGTCAGGACTGACTGCTCCTTTATTATCTTCTTAGAACTTTCCTTCACCATCATCCTGGAAATTCTGCTTACATGATGTCTGTGTCAAAACTGTTATTTCCTAGATGTCAAGACTTCTTTCTTGAATAATTGCTTCATCTTGGCAGAGCATATCTTTTATAATAGCTGTCCGGGAAAGGGGAGCCTAAGAGGTGTCTTTTTTGACATCTGAATATTTAAATATACCTTTATTTCATCCACACACATTCAGGCAGCATTCAACGCTGAAAATACTTTTTTCAGAATTTTTAGTTTTGTTCCGCTATGATTTAACTTTGCACATGGTAATGAAGGAACTGGATTACTGTTCTCATCCCTGCTGTTGGTATATAAGTTTACTTCTCCCTAGAAGCAGTCAGGATTTTATTCTTTAACCCCAGATGTTTTTTCATTAATGTGCTGGGGACTATGTGAATTCTTCCAATTTGAAAACTCCTATCCCCTAATTTGGTTATTTTCTATTTTGTCATATTCTTCTCCATTTTTTGCTACTTCTGGATTTTGTCCTTCTTTGTTTCAGACTTAAATGTTAGATATTTTTTCCTTTAACATCCAGTAATCTTGGTTGTCGGTTCATCTTTATAAGTCAGACTATAAAACTGACCAAAGAGTCTAGACACAGGCTGTGCTGGCTGCCTAGAGGCTCTTTGTGTGGGGAACATACCAGTCTCAGAAGTCCTCACTGCTGGGACTACTTTTATTTTTAGAGGGAATTCTCCACTCTTCTGTCTAGGGGTATAATCTGGACCCAATTTTGGAAGTTAAGTAGGAAAAAGTAGTGCGAAATTGTGTTGTACTGGTATACCAGACTTTCACCAAATCCCCTTACATTCACTAAGGCACCTTACTTTCTGACCAAGTTATACATCAGGCAGCTTAGGGTTCAAAGCTTCTTGGGGTTTGATTCTTTTTCGGAAAGTAAATCTCTAGTCTCCTTGCAGTAGTAGTTGCCTGGCTACACAGGTAGGAGAAGTGAGCTGAGAGTCTTATTTCTCTTTTTATAGACTTTCAACTAATCCTCTTGTTTTTAGAACTACTCCTTATCCAACAGTCTGTGAGGTACTAGGCACCTTCTGGAGTTCTACAGCATGAGTTACATATTACTTCTTGAAGGCTGCAGATTTCAGTTCTTCTATATTCTGTCAAATCAGTTTATCATTAATTTATCTCCTTGTGATTTTTCTAAAACTTTGTCAATTCTATTACCTTCTAGTCTCTTCTGTTCCATTCATCCTAGAGTTTACAATTTTTAAATTACTTAACTTTTACTAGCAGCATTTCACTAGGGAGCTGACATAAATGAATATGCTCAATTGTTCTTATTTATAGTATTACCATGATGCCCCCCTATGTTATAATAGTCTTTCAATTTGGCTAACAACTTTCCTTACAATCTTTTACAT